AAAGCATTGGTTCTGACATAAGCATGAAAAGTAATGATTGCAGTGCCGGTGCAGAGCATGACCTTTAATTATTATTTAATTAGCAGATGTATTAGCTTAAGACTCTCATATATGCACATGACTCCTGTTGACTTTTGGAACTGCTTCAAATTAATTCTGAAGWGGAGCAGATTAAGTTTGTCCTTAATGTTGTCAGATGTTCATCTTGCTGATACAACCCTTGTGCTCTGCGTGTACTCCAAAGTGAATCACTGACTGATGGGAGCTGGAGTGATATCAGGAAGACTTTTTGGAGCAAATATCTCCAGAGCCCTGGTCTGGATGGCTCCTGACCAGCTCTGGCCTGTTAGCTCAGTGACAGTGACAGTGACAGTGACAGTGACAGTGCTGGCCCAGTTTCAGCCCTCTTCAGTGAAGCATCCAGCAGTGATCCTTCTTGGAAGTGCTAACAGTGCCATCTAAAGGAGAGTAACGCAAAGTGACAAATCCTGGAGGGATAATCTTTCCGGCCACAAATAGGGAGGAAAAAAATACACTTTAATGTCTCTAGTACCTCATAGGAGTGTTTGTGTTGAGGGCTGCTGTGGCCAAACTGCACCGAGGCTCTGAGAAACGGTGTCATGGCTCTCTGTACTCCAGCAGGAGAAAGGTGGAGTTCCACCAGCAAGTTYTGCCCTTGAAATTTCAGAGGAGCGTTCTGGAGCTACAGTGCTTGTGAGAGGRAGGGAGGGACTCTTTCTGGGCTGCAGACCCCAAGGGTGAGGGCAGGTAGGGGAAAGGATCTGTCCCATACTCTGCTTGGGCCGGAGGGGTTTCCAGACCTTCAGCAAGGCATCTTGATATGGTTTTCATCAGGGGGGAGAAACTGCTCAAGACAGGTGCCAGCACATGAATCTGATCGGCTGGGAATGGAGCAGCCACACAGATGTCCTGAACAAGAGTARGGACAATGCTGCAGTACTTGATGGCATCCCAGAATTTTGTGTCTACCAACACTGGGAAAGGCCACTGTGGCCAGTAACCAGAACATGTCTGTCTGCACATCTGTTCATGAGTATGCAATAYATGCCTTACAGAAAAGTAAACACACACAGCAATAGCCTGAAAAATCTAGGATGGGCAAGGAAAACCTTTTCCATCATTCGGATGACAGATAGGTGTGTGCTCCTTGAGAGTAATGTTCCTGTCCTGTGAATGGAAAATACGCCACGAGTGTCATGTAACATCCTTGGCCAGATGCTGATGACTGCTTGTGCTAGAGGCAAAATTGATCATGTTACTTATAAATTGTTTGTCACTTCCCACCATTGCTTCCAAAACATTAATTTGGGCTAACATTTCAAGGRATTATCCCAGGCTAATCTGAAAATGGTTTATTTTCACAACTGTCTCAGAGAATGAGTTCAGGAGAAATATATCTGTTGTCCATGCCTGGTGATGGCAGAGTTGGTAAGAAGACAGCACTCATCAGAAAGATTGACCTTCTGGCTTTCAGGGGTAATGCTTYCCCAGCATTTGCAAAATGTGGTTGAATTTGGCCCAAGAATAGTCCTTAGAATAGTGCCATTCCTCCCTTCTCACAATTGCAGGCACTCTAGATGTCCTGGATTGAGCAAGTTCATTCTTTTCATTGCTTCTGATGGAGACCAGAGCAGTCAGAGCAGCTCAATATTTTCATTCTGTATCCTGAAAAAAATACTCTTTGGACTCACCAAACACTGACAGTTTAGGGTTATGAATCAAAAAAAAACAAACATTTCATTGTGAGGAAAACAAAACACTTCATTTACTTGGGAGGAAAAATAAATACAAAGTAGCTCTGTCATCATTTAGAGCTGTCTA